ACTCGTTTCCCTCGCGTGTCTTTTCAACCCCCTTCCACCTCTTCCATCCTGGTATTCGTTCAACGTCTCGAGAATTTTATGAAAAATCGTGTTGTCGATTTAAATTGAATGAAAATTTTCAAATTATAAATCTAGTGATTTATTTGTTAGTCTGGAATTTTTGTTTAATGTCTAAGAGGGTGAATTAAGTTTCTTCGTAAATTCTAGGGGTTGGATTGTTTAGTTTAATTGTGATGTAGAATTGCACAAATCAATTGTCATCTCATATCTGTTTTGATTGTAAATTCATCTAAGTAATTCAATTGAGAGTTGGTAGAATATTATAAATTAAGGATTGAATATTTTTTAACGATGATAATTGTTATAAAATTATTTATAAATCGTTTCTCTTTGAAAAATCATTGAAGATAGTTTTTTTTTCTTCATACGTCTTTTGATTGCATGAATTCGTTTAAAAATAAAAAAATGGAATGATTAAATTTATTCCAATTCTGTATCCTCTTTTCATTAAAATATTTTTTTATTTTTGTCCGAGGAAAATTTCCATAATATATGTGTTAAGTCTTCTATATATCTGGATTAAAGATTTATTGTTTCATAAAATTGTAGAATTTTTTATCGTTGTAATGAAAACGGTGTTTATTCAAATGGAATTATTTTAAATCGAAAACGATAATGAATATTAAATTGTATCGAATGAAAAACAGTGGAGAATGTGTGTTTGTGTGTTATTTCTGAACTGAGAATTGAATGTTGCCTTCGAATGTTGTTTCGATAAAAAATAATACATTAAATCTTTTTTTATGAAGATGAAAAGTTATTCGTTCTTCTGAAATTGTTTTTCCTGGGAAAATAATCGAATATTGGATTGCTTTAAATATTACCTTACAGTTTTATTATTATTAAATTATTTTGCAAAGATAATTACACGATAGAAAAATAATTTTCAATTCTTGAGAAGATAATTGAAAGAATAAATTTTCTTCAAAACATATCTATTTTCGAGAAACAATATATATAATTCTTGATCAATTTAATGATATACAAAAAATAAAGAAACTTGATCGAAATCTTGAAAAAAAAAAATTTTAATTTCAATCAAGACTCTTGAAAATTTCATCGTTTCGTGATTTTGAAAATTGGCCGTGTCGTGAGCGGAGGCAAAATGAAACAACGAGAGTTTGGAAAGTTCTTGGAAAATGACGAGATGCTTTTGAATTGCAAATTCAACGCCAGCTAAGGATATAAAATTATGGGAATCGTTTAAAAGGTGCTCGTTTAGTGTTCTCGCCACTACTCGCTCGTTTTATTCAGACTCTTCAAAAACTTATTCGGGGGTGAAAGGTAGGAGAAATTAAAACCGTCAGTTTATACTCGAGAAATACTTTTTTCAAAGTTGCTTACTGTGCACTCAGCTCCTGTTTTCGTCTTAAAAATAACAGACGAAAATGCCACCCTATTAAATTCACCCCAACCACTCGAGTCGAGAAAGTTATTTTAGATGCTCGGATAGGATCTTAGGTATCTTGATGGCATTTCAAGCAGTATAATAAGCTCTAACTTTTTTCTCTTTTCTTCGGTGCACTACCATTACTGTGCTTACTTAAAGTAACTATGATTTTTTCATACGTTTCTTTATTTCTTCTAAATTATAAATAAAAATTCTGAATTCTTGAATTCGTCCAGGATAGATAAAAGTGATATATTCGTAGAAATGTTGAGATATTGTTATCCCCTTTCTATCAATTTAATATTTAAAATATTTGTTCATTAGTTTATTCTTCTATTTCGAAAAATTTTTATTCGATCCACGAGATCCATAATTTGATCAAATATAATTAACAGACGACACAATTCACAACGATTATTTATAACAATATACAACGAATATCGAAGAATATCTTTCCCTCCAGGAAGAAAATCGTATCATCGAAAACACGTATATTTTGTCACAAGATATCCAGAACAAATCGAGCCAATTCATCCCCCAAATTATCCCTTCATTCACCCAAGACATTATCATCAACACCCGAAACACTATAGGACCATTATCCACGATCTCGATCCCCCATTCATCCCCCTAATCTAGCATGAAATTTCACTCGTGAACGGTGGAGGGGGAGGGGGATCGGCTAACTCTCGCCTTCTATCGTCAACAGGTGAACAAAGGGTTGATCAGAGAATTGCCAAGCACGAGCCCTACGGAGGACAGCCTCGTGTCCTCGACTCGTCTCGGCCTTACTCTTCGATTGGAACGGCACCATTTCCCCGGAGGGACATTAACTCTCACCTGTCAGTCCACGTTGCCGAGGATCAGGGGCGACAAGGCGCTCGAGAGGGTGGAAACCGCGACACTGGCCGCGAGCAATCAACGACTGGCGCAGGAACCGCCCAGATCCGGTTCAACGATCGATGCCCAACCCGTGTCGATCTCGATCTGCTGTTTGTTAGCGATCTTACCATCGTTCAATCACGGTATCTTGCCACTTTTGTATTTTGTTTAACCGGAAACGAATCGCAGACGAAAGCTTCGCGTTGGGATCATTTCGCCACGTGTCGAATTCATGCGAGGATGAAAGGAGGACTTGGTGAAAAGGGATAAAGGAAAGACGAATTTCAGGGGGAATTATTTTCGTATATGAATTGTAATTATTTTAAGAATGATATTTGTGATATTAATGCGCGTGTTCTTGCCTCTTCGCCTTAGTGATAAAATTAAATATACATATATATATATATATAGATTGCGTATAATTAATGAAAATCTGAAAATCTAGAAGTACTCATTTTGCATGAAAACAATTCATTACGATATCGTTATTCTGAGAGGATAGAGAGGCAAGAATATTTATCGAGTATATATATATATATATATGATTTTAATATTTTTAAATAATAACGAAAATATCGAATGTAATTAATATAAAAAGATAATGTTCCCTCTCCACTAAGCCCTTCAATTATCGAATACAGCGAACCGTTCGATTTAATCTTAAGTCCGGATTAAACTCGGGATAAACTTTTTTTTTTAATTTTCCATTGCCGCTGTAAATTGCTCATATCAGATATTCTCGTATTAATATTTTATATATATAATTTGCATCTCGCATCGTCTTCTATATATATATATATATAATCAATCCGAAAAAACAAAGTTTCATTTCCTACTTTACTACTTTAACATTCCATTTTATATATCCATCAAAGAAAACTTTCGTCAATTCGTATTTCGTAGCTATTTTAAACGAATATGCTGGCATGTGATCAGTCTCAAAAAAAAAAGGAATTTCTTTTTTTTTTAAATTCTTCACTGCCATTGTGGAAATTCCGTTGCTCACACAGAAGACACGTTCATTGAACTGTCGATGATGCACGCGTGGACGTGTATATATTCGAAAAAATAAAAGTACGTAATTTATATAAAAATATAAATTATAAGGTGTATCGATGGTCGCTCGATAAAGAGAAGAGAGACGCTAATAGCAATATAATTTAAAAATCGATAAAAAAAAAAAAAAGGCGAATCGTTGAAGCGAAACGCGACACTTGTACATAGTGTA